TGTAAAAGCAGGTAAGTATGGAAAGTACTTAATTCAGATATCCCAAAACTAATCCGAGAGAGATCCCATGAAAGTTAATTGAGCCATGCGTTTTGCATTGAGCCGATATCGATTCTGTGTGGTTTCACCAGTTTTGAAGAAAATCCTCTCTGACGGACCACTTCAGGCATAACATTTGATAACGGCACACAAACATTTGTAAACAAACTTTCTAAAGCCCTTTACACGCGAACCAAAGTACACCCACGCAAACCAATACCACTTTCGGAAAGGTGATAGTTGTCCCTATCCGATGATGTATCACCAACAAAGCACACTTTTGCCACGTTGCGTCTTGCTTCTAGTAATTCCAGATTTATAAGTAGACAACGGCTTTCATAACTGGGCAGGTTGAATGGATCTCTCCACCTAATATGACGTAGAGCGACCCGGACGAATTTTCGCTGAGCAGCTTCGATGCGTTGAATTTCATTCTGGTAATAAGGAGACCAGACGATAGACGAATACTCCAAGATAGGGCACACAATTGAGCAGTATGAAGCTTTTAGGCAGTAAACGTCCTTGAACTTTTTTGCAAAGCGAAATAAAAATCCTAGTTACGATGAGGCTTTAGACACAACGTACGCGACGTGATCCTTGAAGGTTAATTTTGTATCAACCAGAATCCCCAGGTCCTTGACTGTCGAATCACGTTGTAGATTCACGCCTCCCAAAGCATAGCTAAAATGGAAGAGTGATGGCTTACGGCCAAATGAAATAACCGAACATTTGGACACGTTCAGCGACATTCGATTAATATGGCACCATTCAGCGAAGGCTTCCAGTTGTTGTTGCAGAAAAAACGCGTCTTGTGGTTGCTTAATCATAAAGTAAAGCTTCAGGTCATCGGCATACGAGAGTTTTAGGCATTTCAAGATGAAATTGACATCGTTCATAAACAGCAAGAATAGAAACGGCCCCAAGTGACATCCTTGGGGAACACCGGACCAAACCGGAAAGGAGGGCGAAACGTGGTCTCCAATTTTGACGGACATACTTCGACCGGTTAGGTAGGATCGAAGCCAGGAAAGCAAGTTACTGTTCATTCCCAGCTTGTCGAATTTAGCAACTGCGATTTGATGATTCATTTTATCAAACGCCGTGGATAAGTCTGTGTAAATAGCGTCTACTTGTTGACCATTTTCTATTTGGCGGATCACGAACGAAGTGAAACAAGTCAATTAGTTGTCGTCGAACGGTTAGGCATAAATCCGTGCTGATCAACCGAAATGTAGTGTGCGTAGTTCTGAACCAGCTTATGCAGAACGATCACCTCAAACAGCTTAGAAGTGGCGCTCTACGCAGCTATGCCCCGATAGTTCGAAACAATCCGCTTGCAGCCTTTCTTGAAAACTGGGAAAACATACAACTGCTTCCAGTAGTTTGGGAATACACCAGTAGCCAAAGATAGGTTGAATACTCTTGCTAGTGGTGTTGCAAGTGTATCCGCGCAGCATTTGAGGACAAGCGATGGAATCCCATCCGGACCGCATCCCGTGGAGGATTTTAAATCCTTTCCGGCTGATATAATCATATCGTTCGTGATCACGAACTGTAGCCCAGAGGCCGAAAGTCGAGGAACATTTCTGGTGGCGACGGCTACATGCTGCGGGTCGATGTGTTCATTAGTGAAAACATTGCTGAATTGAGAACGGAACAGGTCGACGATGTCAGTGGTGGAATCAGCTTCAAACAATCCGTTAGTCATCGTAGAGGGCAGTCCGGATTCCATCCGTTGGTAACGCCAAAAACTTCTGGGATTTGTCTTGAAGCGCCTTTGCAGATGGTCCTGATATGCGTTGTACAAACGATTATTAAGTTGGTTGTATTCAGTGCTCGCCGCCATATATCTCGTTCTCGTAGTGTTGCATCGACAGTGGCAATTGCGATCCACCACCGAGCCATCAGGAGGGTCGAGCGTACGGGATTTAAAACTCGAGTGAACAGCCAGCAAAACACCACCTTCAGTGCTTTTGTTGCTATTCGAAGGCGACCGGTCTTGTCGATAAACGGAATATGATTCGCCAAGCAACTGATTCGTTGAGGTATGTCCATTGAGCCAGGATTCGGAAAGTGCGTAAACATCATAGGAACCGTCGCTGAAGGCCAATTGGTACTCGGCGAGAGAGCTGTTGATCCCACCAACATTTTGGTAGTACATCAGGACATTCGAAGAAGCAGGTGCAGCATTACTTGCTAGAGGCGCAGTCCTAGGGATTGAAGAGTCGTCAGAGTGGGGATTGCCGTTACTAAAAAGATACTTGTAATGATAGGCAGCTTGGAAGTTCCCATCGCCATCGCTAGACTCAGGGCCGGGACGACTTGGATGGCAGGAACGAGAGAACTGCGACAGGTTTTCGATGATGGCTGGAGGCGCGACTAAGCTAGGCGGGTCAGGGGCTTCCGTACTGCTTTGTGTCAGGTGTCCCGGGTTCGATGGCGGTGATCTTGGTTGCGTTGGAGAATGGTGTGAAGACGAAGCGTAGAAAAGTGATAGAGGACTAAGTGTCGGTGTATTGTAGCCAATAGTGTCCTCGGCGAGACACACGTTGCCTGGAAGAACAGGCTGGAGGACCTCAACTACAGACTCGACAACAGGACCACGACGACTAAGATAATCGCTGGCAGCAAGAGACGGGACTGTGTCGGGCTGAGAAGAGGTCTCCAAAGTGCTATCTATCATGCCTCGCGGGGTCCTTAGTCCATCATGGCTTGAAGCAATACTGAACACTTTCAATTTCTTTTTTTTTCCAACGATCAAATGGTATCGATATCTGGCCTCTACACGTCGTTCCCTTTCCGGAAATACCCATATTTTAGAGCATTTGAACCGATTGCTACCATCTTGGATAACAAAATGGTGTCAAGCATCGATTTACAGTTTCTACACGTCGTCCCCTTTCCGGAAATATCCATATTGCAGAGTATTTGACAGTTTTTCTTCAACCGATTGCCTCCATCTTGGATTTCAAAATGTCATTCGGCATCGGTTTTCGGAAATACCCATATTGTAGGGTATTTGACAGTTTTTCTTGAACAGATGGCCGCCATCTTGGATTGCAAAATTGTGTCTGGCATTTGAACCGATTGCTACCATCTTGGATAACAAAATGGTGTCAAGCATCGATTTCCAGCCTCTACACGTCGTTTCCTTTCCGAAAATACCCATATTGTAGGGTATTTGACAGTTTTTCTTGAATCGATGACCGCCATCTTGGATTTTTAAAATGGCGTCTGAAATCGATCAACAGCCTCTCTACAAGTTTTCCCTATTCCGTTGCATGTCCTCACATTGTACAGCAACATCATATATGGACAAGCTTTCCACACATAACATATTAAGGAAGTTCATGTGCACACTAGCGCCGCGTAGTTCTTAAATAATATGACCACCATCCGAAAGGACTTGGTCACTTGAACAACTTTGCTGAAGACAGCAACGTTCTATATGGCCAGGTTCTCGAGATACAGTTTATATACGAAGTTTACATGCACACTAGCGCTGCGTAGTGAGAGAGTTCTGAACTAATATGAACATCATACAAAAGGACATTATCACCTGAACAACTTTGCTGAAGACAGTAACTTTCTATATGGCCAGGATCACATAATATTCTATGTTGGACCTAAGATCCATATATTATAGCGCCCGTCATAAGTAACATAAAAGTGAAGCGCCTCTAGTGGCGTAGTTCTCAATTAAACCTGAATCCAATGACTCAGGCTTGTTGGTCTATCCCAGTACAACAACTTTGTCGAGGACAGTATAGCTCTATATATTGAAACAAATGAGATAATCCACCACAGCCCCTATTAGTGAAAATCTCATAAGCTTTGGGTATCCTCATTCGCGGATAGTCCGGCAATAAGGATCCGGCAATAAGGGATACCGGCAATAAGGAATCCGGCAATAAGGATTCTTGACTGTATGTGGTAAGCAAATTAACGAGAACCAGTCAAGTCAACATGAATCGACACGCATTTTGCTCGAGACTTTTCCGGGTTTTTCCGTTCCGACTGGCCAACCACAGGTCCACTTGGGTTTCTATATATTCAAAATAAAATAAAGTAGCCATATCTTTCGATTGGTGGCTGAATCATAACGATGGGTCATCGTATTGCTGAAAACCAGCTATGTCAACATGAATCGACACACATTTTGCAGCCTTGGTACTTTGAGGAAGTTTTAATGGTTTGGAATTATGTCAGTTAATGCCGAAATCTTGGATTTTTTTGATGTTTTCTGCTCGATAGGCCTGACATGGGCGATTATACCGAAATAGTTCTCTACCCTATATGCAGTTAAACGCAGAAGGCAAGCAAAATAGAGAGACAGGAGACGTGTTGCCAAAATTTGTCCAACATTGTTCTTCCAGATTAAGCAGTAGGCGGGCTTAACGATCCGGCTAGGGAGCCAATAACAAAAAAAAAAAAGAAACATAAATAAATATAAATTGTCTGAGGGTAATGCTTCTATTTAAATTTGTGTTTCACTTTCACCTGCTTGCTTATTTACTGTCCACCTCAAGGTCGGAGATCAATAACCGTACAAACTCAAGTCCTACTAACCATCCGACGCAATCTTTCTATTTATATCTGCTTGAGTTTATCACAAACACCTTTCCACCTAAGATGACCATCTCAAAATATATTTTATCCTCCACAATCGCTTGCCACAACAATGATCGTGATGGCTGGCAAGTGAATAAGGTCTTCACCTGTGTGGCTAGTTCCGCACTTAACAAGCCCCCGCGGGATGACAACCGATGTACGATGACGTTAGCTTTCCCTTTCTAATCGATTATGCACGTGAAATAACGCTGCATCATCGCCGTTGAAACCTGTCAAGCTTCCTGCAAATTAAATCATACTCTGGCAAAAGAGTTCCAAAGTCGGCAAGTATTAAAAGCATGAACCCATCCACCGTCCCCGTTTATTCCTGTTTGAAATCGTGCGCGAAGATGAAGTCGTTAGTCCTAGCTGTCCTACTGTTAAGTGTAACGCTATTCGGAACTACTTCCGCTAAACGTAAAATTCAGTGTCGTTTGTTCCAACCGGGTGTGGAATCCACCACGGTGGCATCACCTGCCTCTGGTCCTGCGATCTTGAATAGTGCCGATTTCGAGACAATCATGCTGAAGCTGGATGCTCTGGACTATCGAGTGGTCAAGGCGGAATTTTCCCTGCAGAGTACGATTCGCACGATCGCTGACGACGTGGATAATCTGGGACAGGTTGTCGAGAAACTAGCCTGGGTGGTGAGCCAGACTGAGCTGTCCGGTAGTTTTGTGGAGCATCACGTGAAGCTGATTGAATACAATTTGACAACGATGCAGAAAGATGTGAGGGAAATGTTGAGTGTTCAGCAACGATTGCCGACGAGGACGTTTATCGAAAATGCATTGGTTAAATTGAAGTTCCACACCAACGAGTCTATCACTGAAGATGGTGAAAATCCCATTCCGACGAAGATGGTCGAAAATATGATGATGGACGAGCAAATGTTCGAGTACTGTGATCAGTTGCCGGACAACAAAATTTCTGGAGTGTACACGATCATACCGGATGGGGACTTCCGGGAGCCAATGCGGGTGTATTGCAATCTATCGTACACGGACGGGGGATGGACGGTGGTTCAGAGGCGATTCAATGGGACGGTGAACTTCTACCGGGAATATGAAGAGTACGTGCGAGGATTTGGGAAACTGGATGGCGGTGAGTTTTGGTTGGGTCTGGAACGGATTCATCGGTTGACGTACTCGGCTGCACATGAACTGGTCGTAGTTCTGGAAGACTGGGAAGGTGAATCCAGGTATGCGTGGTACGAAAACTTTGAAATAGCCGGGGAGTTTGACCATTTCAAGGTTACAAAGCTGGACGGTTATAAGGGTGACGCTGGAGATTCGCTAAATTACACGCTGAATGCTGCGTTTTCAACTTTTGACCAGGATCATGATACCAATGAGCAGAACAACTGTGCAGTCAAGTACCATGGGGCGTGGTGGTATAAGGCTTGCCATTCAAGGTAAGTCATTTGTGTGATCAGAGTGTATTGGAACATTGATTTTATTTATCTTTACCAACAGTAACTTGAATGGAAAATACCTCCGTGGCAATACGACGGAGTTCGGTTCCGGAATGAACTGGGAAACGTTCCATGGGATGAGCTATGCTTTGAAATCTTCCACGATGATGATTCGTAGGCGGCGGGATATGATTCCCGAGGAAACGTTCCAGGATTTTTTCCTGTATGAGGACAGATCCCGGCTGGAGGTGGAGCAGAATGAACACACAGAATCACTGAATAATGCCATCTATACTGAGGAGAAGTTTGTTCCTGAATAAACTAGTAATTGAGAACATGTAGCGAGGACTAAACCTGTTATTCATCCGAACATTCTCCGATGTAGTGAATTATTTATATTAAAGTTGTATTGACGATTCAAATCAATGGTTATTCGTTGGAAATTGAGTAATCGCACTTCTACCGTAAATCATATTGAGCCATATTTGCTTTGCGTAGGATTCATCAGGTGCCCCTCCATATTGTATAAGAAACATTTGTTTTTAATACCATCATAGAATACGTTCCTATAGAAACGAAATACTCTCCTTTTTCCATGGTTGACTTCTCACATGCTCTCCTTTCATGTGACAATACAGCTCCGGGAATGAATAGAATTAAATTCAACTTGCTCAAAAACCTCCCAGACATTGCGAAAAGGAGTTCGTTGAACTTGTTCAATCAGTTTCTGGAGCACAACGTCGTTCCGGATGATTGGAGGCAAATGAGAGTTACTGTCATTTAAAACCCCGGTAAGCCCGCGTCCGATCATAACTCCTACCATCCCATCGCGATGCTTTCCTGCATTCGGAAATTGATGAAGAAAATGATTCTTCTTTATCTGGACAAGTGAGTCGAGTCGAATGGCTTACTCTCAGATCTTGTATTTCGGAGGGACAAGGGACCTGACTTGCGTTGCTTTCTACTGGAATTCAAATGGCCTATGCTTGGAAGCAGCAATTGAGCTCAGTATTTTTGGACATTAAGGGGGTTTTGACTCTGTTGTATCGATGTCCTTTCGGACAAACTCCACTTCAGTGGGCTTTCACCAATTCTGAACAACTTTTTGAGCATTTTGTTGCCAAAGAAATATAAGAGCTTTTCTCATGGAAACTCGGTAACTTCACCAACTAGTTACATGGGCCTCATTCAGGGCTCATGTTAAATCCCCCTCTTAATTTGTATGTCAATGACATTGACGATTGTATTGTTGAACATCGCTCGCTAAGGCAGCTTGCTGATGACGGCGTGGTTTCCGTCATAGGACCAAATGCACCAGACCTGCAAGGACCAATGCAACATACCTTGGGCAATTTTTCTACTTGGGCTATGGAGCTGGGTATCGAATTCTCTCCGGAGAAAACTGAGTTGGATGTTTTTTTTTTTTTTTTCTAGGAAGCATTATCCAGCACAAATACAGCTTCAACTCATGACAGCAAACAATCACTCATAGCATGTCTTTTAAGCATTTAGGTTTCTAGTTCGATTCAAAATGCCCTTTTTCCCCCGGAACCACTCGTCGTTTTGTGTGTACTCACGTTAAATTATTTATAGCATGAAAGCTCGTCTTTGAAATTTCAGCCTAAATGTATTCACCGCCAAGGGAGAGCAACAGTTAGAAGAGTTCCAAAAGCCATAAAACAATTCGAATGAGTTCCCTGCGCTAAGCTACAAGCGCAAAGGAAATGTCCCGATAGCCTGATAGTTTGCCTGGTGTATCACTTTGATGCCACAATTTCACCGCATTGGCTTGCGGGCATCGCTAATCGATTCAAAATGCGTTGACCTTTCATATTCGGTTTTGCGCACTTTTCCCGAACTTGGGAGAGAATTTGACTGGTTGATTTGAATAGGCAGTTGGAATGAGATGCCACTAATTTTGGGAGGAATTCCGCGTGAGTAATTTAGAGAATCGGTAATCGTGATTTGGACTTCGTCTCTCATCTGAGGACGAAGATCTCCTTGCGCGGTATCTGAGGAATTCCTCAGTCATTAATCTTCCACTTTGTTCTGGTTCGTGGAAGAGGCACAAGAGTGGTCAGTGTTTGATCCGTGCCGTGGTGGGTTAAAAAAGGTGTACATAAAATGACATGAAATCCTAATAGGGCATTTGCTAAATTAATTCTCCTTTCCCTTAGTTAGGCACAAATTAGTTATTAGTGCAAGAAGTTTGGCGGTAGTGTGTGCAGAAGTGAACATAGTCAGGTAAATCTACTGGTTAAGATAACCTTGAGGGCGTGATTTTGATTCTCCCCATTCGTGCATTGGTTTTCCTGAAACTTAATAGGTTCGTGGCTGCGCAAGCCAATTGCCGACACACCACCGTTTCAGTTACGACCGCTTTTGACCCCAACTATCAGCTACAAATTATCCCGAGGTACACGTGGCCGGAAGAAGGACGTTTCCACCAATTTCGCGCCTTTGGCAGGCAGGCTCACCATCGCTGTATCGGTTAACAGCAACCGAACACGTGCTAACTACTGTTCGGCGCGCAAGCAACAGCATCCGGACAATCGAGCGTATGTACCACGCTCCACGCGTAAGCCCGCGCATCGGTGTAGGAGACACCCATCAGTTCATCGCATCGATGATAGTTTCCGGACCGAAGTAGTGCGCAACGCAGCTTCGGTACCACCGCCGGTCTCCTCACCAACGCAGCAGAAAATCCTAGGTCGTGAGTACTAAAAACATGCATGTTATCCGTTTGTGTCATCCATGGCCATGTGACTCGTAGAGGCACAAACATATCTAGCCCGTATGTCCATTAATAAACGGGACTAGATTGAATACACCGACAAAGTGAGTACCAACAGAAGAACCTGCACACAGTGAACACGCACGGGGTGTGAAGTTGTTCGCCTCCTCGTGGTGCACACTGGAAACGATGGACCACCAGTGCTGCGGTACTGATCCAGTCGGCTAATCGAACAACAAACGAGGGGAAGCGCCCGAAGGCGCCTTGCGATCGATGTCAGTAAGATCGCAAGTATGTATACTGACACACTGGCATTATGTAGGACACTGAGTGGAAACTTACCATAAACCACGCTACGGGCTGGCACTCAAGGTATTTCATTCTCTTAGTAGAGTCGCGTGGAACCGGCCGAAACGACGTTTGAGCTAATGCCTTGTTTGTCTCCGTCCCATAAAACCCTGGCAGGCCTTAGAATACGTTCCTCCCGTGCCACCCAGTTGGGGCTGCGGTGGGAATAGGTTCGGTTGAGTTATTCCCGTCTTACGCGATCCGGCTCTGAACATAACGCCCCATGAAGGCCTGTGTCAACCCTCGTCATGGACCTCACTGCTCGCATAGGCACCCATGGGGATCAATCAGCGACTATTCCATTTGCACGGTAGGATAGCGGTCTAAGGGGGACCCAACAGTCGGGATGATTAAACAAAATCATCAAAACAGTCAAAAACCCCAAATCCCAGGTGAACAAGTCACCGAGGAGGCGACCGCGAACCCGTTCGCGAAGGGAGGTCTACCCAGATCTCCCGAACACAGTGAGCCGAACAAACGGCCGAAATCTCCGCGCGATGCAGAGACAACGGCCGAGATCGGTGGACAGCCGGAGGAGCAGCCGAAGGACTGGCCCGGGCTAATAAGAACCATGAATAGCTTTGGGCCTCTCCCTAGGCTGCTTGCAATCGCGGGACAGCTCGACGCCATACTAGAGTTCACGAGCACGAAGAGCAACATCGCGAAGGACCTAAAGCAGGCCTTGCGACAGCTCCGTGCAACCGTGAACGAGGTCCAGGACGACCACGACCGGTCAGGAAGCGACTAGAGGTCGCAGAGAGGGTGGAACAGAAGGAACCGAAGTCTACCCAGACGGACGCCTTCAACTTCGCGGGCAACAATACGATGTCCAGCGAGGCCTTCCACTTTGCCGTTACGCAGGGACAGAAGCGAAATCGGCCCTCACCTTCGCCAGTAAAGGGCGCAGCACGCCCTAAGAGACGGAAAGTCTCTGTGCAGGTGGAGAGTGTGGCATTAGTGGACGTACCGAAGAAGAGGGCTGGAATAGCCAGTAGCAAAGTTGAGAAATGTAGCGGCTCCAAGGGCGGGAAGCAGGGCGGTAAGAAGGGTGCCCCCCCCCCCCCGAAACCCCCGAAACCCCCGGACAAAACTGCCCTCAAGAGCAGTGCTGCCCGGACCAGGAACAAGGGCGAAGCTCTCATCTTCAAGACGGACGCGTCGAAATACGTGGAAGTCTTGAAGAAAATGAGAACGGACGAGCGCCTTGTGGAGATGGGCAGTAACGTGAGGAGCATCAGGCGCACTCGTACAGGCGAGATGCTCCTGGTGCTCAAACGTGGCGCTAAGGACCAGGGACCAACCTACCAGAAACTGGCAAAGGAGGTTGTTGGTTCTGGGGTGCAGGTGAAGTCGCTAGGCTCGACTATCACCATCCAGGTCAAGGACCTGGACGAAGTGACGGAGGCGACCGAGATAGTCACGGCGCTCCGGGAACAGTGTCAAGTCGAGGTACCGCAATCAGCGATTACCTTGAGGAAGGGACTGTTTTCCACCCAAGTGGCTACCATCAGGCTCTCTGCAGCTGAGGCCAGAAAGGCGGTAGCCGCAAGGAGGGTGCGAGTGGGCTGGTCGGTCTGCCCCGTCAGTATTCCCCGACCGGTTACGGCTTGCTTTAGGTGCTTCGGTCAGGGCCATGTGGCCCGTGACTGTAAGAACACCGACAGGAGCAAGCTTTGCAGATGGTGCGGCTCGGAGGGCCATAAGGCGCGAGGTTGCCAAAAGCCGCCGAGGTGCACTATATGCGCGGAGAAGGGGAATACCCCTACCAACCACATGGCAGATGGCCCACGCTGCCCGGGGTCCAAGACCAATGCTGCTAAGGCAAAGAGCAATGCTCAGCCATGTTCGAGGTAGCGCAGTTGAACCTGAACCACTGTTCGGCTGCCCAGAAACTGCTGTGGCAATCGGCGTGGAATGGGGAGCGGATGTCGCAATCATCTCTGACCCGTACCGCGTCCCAACCGGCAACGGGAATAGGGTCACGGACGCGTCGGGGATGGCGGCGGTATGCACGATGGGGAGCTTCCCCATTCAGGAGGTAGTCGTGTCCAACTCGAGCGAGGGATTCGTGATCGCCAGGGTTAATGGAGTTTACTTAAGTAGCTGCTATGCTCCGCCCAGGTGGTCTATCGAGCAATTCTCGCAGATGGTGGACAGACTGACTGCGGTACTTGTCGGCCTAAGACCGGTGGTCATTGCGGGCGACTTTAACGCTTGGGCGGTAGAGTGGGGCAGCCA